GGAAACTGCTCTTGGGGGGCCTGGGCCCGGCAGGGAAGGAGCCAGTGACCGAGAGGCGTCGCCGCTGCCGCCCTTGCTGTTAGAAGCCCCTGGTCCCGGGGTGACCAGGCCGTGTGGTGCCCGGGGCCCCTCGCCTCGGTCCAGCGGCTGAACTTCCTGAGCGGGCTGCTGGAGCGCTTGGCCTGCCAGCTTCAGATGCTTCCTCCGCTACCCGTCCTTCCACCCTTCTGGGGTCCCCGGGTGCCCTTGCTGGGGGGGAGGGGGGAGGGGTTTGACGGTCGTTGGTCACCGAGCGTCCGGACGCGCTCAGCTTTCCGCCTCTTCCGGCGCCTTCCTGGGGCGATCCGGTGGCCACCAGGTCCAACTGGGTCGGGACCCTGCACCTGCTTCCGTGACTCATATTCACCCTTCCCGACACGGCTGCGGCTCCACTTAACACGGAAGAACCGAGTCAGGCGTGTCCCTGTGTGGACACCACCCACCCGGCCTGCGAGGGACGCAGGCCTGGATGGATGGCTTTGGGGATTCTGTTTGAAGTTTTTTAGGTGCATGCCAAATGTGGTTCCCCCGCCCATTTGTAATATACATTTTGACTGGAAACTTTTGTACAACACTCCAATAAACACTTTGATTTTAATCGCAGCTTCCTAGTTGCTCCGACAGCCGGGAACCCCGGGCCTATGAGGTCACCGGTATCCCTGCCGTCCGCAGCGCGCAGCGCAAACGCCTCGGTCCAGTGTGCGCATGCGCGGTTTACGAGCCTGGGTTGAATCCTAGAAGCTAAAAGCCCTTTTCACGATTCCTAACAGGAATCTACCTGCGCCTGCGCAAGGGCCCCCGCGCGGCCTGGTGGGTATTATGCTCTGGACTCTCCCACGGTTCCGGGGACGCCCAGCTTCCGGTGCAGCTGCGGGGGGCAGTAGCGCGGACTAATCTTCCAAGGGTGCTCCTGGCGACAGCTTCTGACGGCTGCGGGTTGACTGTGGAGCCAGGAAAGGTAGCTTCGGCGACAGGAAATTGGACGCAAGGCTCGTCGGGAAGCAGGCGAAGGGACAGATTGGCGTGGCCCGCGCGCAGGAGGTGCTGCAGGCGCGGGGTGCGTCGGTCAGGGTAAGGCGGCGTGGGTGACACCAGGGGTGCTTCCGGAAGTGCACTGGGAAGCTGGGGGCCTCCCCGCGCTATTCGGAACAGGTGAGATCCCTTGGGGGTCCGGGTTTGGGGGATTGAGAGGGTCTTGACCCGCTGACGGCGGGGCGCGGGTTCTAGGTTGCGAGGGTTGACGGAGAGGTGAAGCGAGGCTTTGGCTGTTGTCCTGTGCGGTGCAGCGACTTGAACGGCCTGGAGCGTGTTAGCAGCAAGCGCCAGGGTTGAGCCGCGGAATCCCAGGCTGTTGCTCTGTCATCGTAGTGGAAAAGGTTAAACGAATGTTCACGGCGGGTGCCAATAAAACTTTCCAAAACAGGCACTGGAGGTGGGTGTAAGGCCTCACGGCAGTTATCGCCGCACTCCAGGAGCCTGATACCTAAAGATCTTCACTTCACGCCCAGCCTGGCAATTTAGCAATTTAGCAAGACCCTATCTCAAAAAATATAAAGGGCTGGTCGATCCGCAGTGCTGGAAAAAAAATGTTTTCATTATTCATTGCTAAGCTTTTTTCTCAGTCTCCGTCCCTCCTCTCCTCTTTCTTATGCTGGGCTTAGAGCCCAGGGCCTTGCACATGCTTGGCAAGTGCTCACCACTGAGCTGCACCCCCAGCCCCAGTCTCCTAGGGATGAGACACCTGGCGGGACCCCCTCAGGGTTTCCACACCCCGCCCACTACCCCCAGTGTTGCCCACCTGGCAAGAGTCCACCCTGCCCTCCAGGAAGCCGGCACAGAGCATGCGGTCGGTGAGAGAGAAGTTGTAGAGCACGCTGCAGGTTTTCTGGTCCACGATGCCCACGGATGCCCTCTGCAGAACATCAGGCTTGGTGGCTGCCAGGAGAGGAGGGAGCCCACTGGCTCTTAGTGAGTGACCACGGGGTCAGCTTGGCGCCGTCCTGAGAGGAGGTGCCATCCCTCCCCTGTGGACACACACGTAGGCACACAAGGAGGAGGCAGATCCCAGCGTCCCAGCACAGCACCCTGAGGTCTCCTCTCAGTCCCTGTAACCCATATGAAGCCATTCTGGGCTCTCCACAGAGCACTGACTCTTGGCTGGGGTCTCTGAATGGTGTAGTGCAGGGTCAGCAAGCTCTTTCCATGAATATGTTGCTTTATGAGCCAGTCACTTTTCCCATTATTAACCAGGACAGGAGAGCAGCCATGGACAATCTATAAATGAATGTGTGTGGGCCGTGTGCCAATAAAACTTTATTTAAACAAACAGGACTTGGCCACCCATTGCCCCCTGGCATAATGAGAGGCGAATGGTTCATAGCCTGTGGTTGGGTCAGCACGAAGGTCCCTGTGCAGTGGGGCTGGTCTGGGGCTCAGGGAAGGCAGCCCATCCCCTCCTCCCCGGGCCAGGCCCTGCAGAATAAAGGTGTCACCCTTTCAGTTGTGGTGGCTGCTTACTGTTCCCTTCCTGTGTGCTGCCCCAGCCCGAGATCATGCACTTGTGGCCCACAGGGAACTTCTGGATGGCCAGTGGGAGGCAGACGGGCTGGATGTACTTGCTGAAGGCCAGGGGCCTGGCCAGCTCCAGCACGGCCACGTCAAAGTCCAGGGTCCCGGGGTTGTAGCGTGGATGGAGGGTCACCCGCCGCAGGCCCAGCTTCACGGGGCTCCCGCCAGTGCCCAGGAGGGACGCGGTGCCCAGCTGGGCCTGCACCTGCTCTGCCCAGGGAGAGAAGCCCGGCTCATGTTGCTTCTTGATACACAGGCCCCTGCTTTTTTTTCTTTTTTTTTTTTTTTTTTTGCTGTACTGGGGATTGAACCCAGGACCTTATGCTTGTGAAGCAGGCACAAGGCCACTGAGCTAAGTCCTCTCTCCTATTTATTGCAGTACTAGGGATTTATTGCAGTACAGGGCCCTCCTGTCCATCTGATGATGCCAAGGACTTCATGGGAGTGAGACCCTGCAGTATGTCCTTCTGTGTCTGGTTCAGTCTCCTGAGCAGTACGGCCACAGGGTCCATCCAGGCTGTAGCGCTCCCAGAACTTATTTTTCCTGGCTGCATCACACTCTAGCATGTACACAGACCTCATTTCCGTCCCACTGCGAGCGGACAGTGTCATTTCTACCTTTGGCCTGCTGTGATACCCTACTGGGAGCGCAGTGTGTGAGTAAAGCCACTTACCCTAACGGGCACCCAACCACCCTGGGCAGCACTGGGCAGCTGTGGCACTGGAGACCTGGGAGCTGGCTTCTTGCTGCCACCTACCGGCTGCCCGTGGTGCTGATGGGTTTGGTGTTTTTGTTTACACTGACAATTGAACCCCGGGCCTTCATAGGGAGCTCCATCCCTAGCTGCTTTTGTACCAGAAATCGAACTCAGGACCTTGAGTTTGCCAGGCAGGTGTGGTGCTACTGGGCTAAATCCCCAGCCCACTTTTAATTTTTGAGACAGTACCTTGCTAAGTTGTCCAGGCTGGGCTTGAATATGTGTTCCTCTTGCCTTGCTTGTAGTAAAACACGTTTTATCTTCTAACCTTTTTTTTTTTTTTGGTCCCAGTGCTTTTAGTAAAACCCGTTTTATCTTCTAACCTTTTTTTTTTTTTTGGTACCAGGGATCGAACTCCAGCCCTTGTGTTTGTGAGGCAGGCAGTGGAACCACTGAGCTAAATCCTGGACCTAACCTTTTTCATGTGTATAATTTAGAGGTATTACTTTACATTTCTGTATGGCTATCACTTCTAGTTCCAGAACATCCAATACCTACCCAAAAGCAGGGCCAGGGATTTAGCCCAGTGGTTCTGTCACCTGCCTCAAAAGTACAAGGTCCCGAGTTCCATCCCGGTCCAAAAAAAAAAAGAAAACTACCCAAAAGCAAGCCTTCTCCTCCTGGAAGCAGAGCCCACTTCCTGTCTCTGAAGTCACCTTCCTGAGCATTTCCTGTCTATGCAGCCTACACTGCCCTGTCGAGTCTCTGAGCAGTGTCCTCAAGACAGCGTGGTGACACGGCCTCGCTTTTCCTAGCCCGGTGCTGTCTTGGCGTGGGGATGGACCGCAAGGCCAGTTTTACGGTCTGTGAATTAGCTCAGGAAAAGAAATGTAGAGGGGTGGACCGAGACTGCGGCTCCGCGGTGAAGCGCTTGCCCAGCCTGCACAAGGCTCTGGGTTCAGTCCCCAGCACGGGGGCGGTGCTTTCTCATCTAAGCTCCTCGTATTCAGGGAGGTGGATCTTTCACGGTGAGGACACCCAGAGGTGGAGGGCTGGAGAGGAGTTGGTCTGCATTATGCCCGTATACAGGCTCCACACGAAGAATGTAAGCACGCGCTGCCAACTTGTGCAGCAAAAATGAAAAAGTGAAGGGTGGGGCCAGGGATGTAGCTCCGTGGCACTGCACCTGCTTGATCCAGTTCGATCCCCAGACCCAAAAGGGGCAACACTTGCCCTAATGACAGGATGAGGCCAGAGCTGTGACCAGGACCAGCAAAGGCTGAGCCTGGGCTTGGAAGCAGTGAGGGTCGGAGGGACTGTCCTGGGGACCGTGCGGTTGTGGGGGGCCCACAGGTGCCTCCAGGCCAGGCCTCGCCCTTCCACCTCGCAGGGCCCACACGTAGGGGATACAGGTCGAGCGAGGGGACAGTCACAGGCTGTCTTCCGGGTGCAGGCAGGGGGCAAAGGGAAGGACTTGGTCTTACAGGCCAGGGGGCCTTGGGGGCCGGAACCACAGACAGCCGCCATCAAGGAAGGTGATTTTATTCCACTTGGCTTCCAACAAGCATAGTCACACGGGCGTGCAGAGCCAGCAGGGTACGGCACTGGCCAGGGATGTGGTGGTTCCCACACTCACGGAGACGCCTGGACCCCTCAGGAGCTGGGCCTGACAGACCTCAGTCCAGGGCAGCAGGCCTACCGCTTCTCACGCCCCCGGGGCTCACGGGCGATGGAGGTGGCCTGGTGGGGATGAGGCTGCCCTGGAGGGCTGGCGGACATCACGGGGCAGAGGACGGGGACCCCATCGGGAAGTGCCACCCTCACCCGGCACTGGGCAGCTCCTGGGAACTCAGGAGACACAGACTGGAGTTTGCCCGTGTCCCCTTTGCTCCCAGACTGGAGCCTCCTCCAGGGAGTCCCTGGCTCCACAGAGGCCGACGGCCTATGGCCCGGTCCCCAAGCCTAGCGCAGGCCACACTCCCCGCCCTGCAGCCGCTCCTGCTCCAGCGCCCGCACCAGCTCCTGCACGAAGCGCATCTCGGATGCCACCTGCTTGGCCAGCGCCTCGTAGCGGTTCTCCAGGCGG